AAAAAAAAAAAAAAAAAAAAAAAAAGAAAAAACTAAAATACTTTATAATCTTTAAAAATATATTGCTGAAGAAACTGACAATTACAATAATTAAAATGCAAAATAGCTAATGATAAATACATAATTCAATCAAAATGCATGTAATAGCGAATTGACTCCATATACCGTAACCTTGAAAATCCGCAATAAACTTTTCTCACTTTTACAAAGTGTTCAAATTAAACGTATAAAATGGGATTCGATTAAAGCCCAGCAAACTGCAATTCTAACGTAAATTATATACTTAATGATATTACCATTTTTCCTCCCATTTAATCTCTGTCAAGTATTTAAATATTAATGTAGAAATACAGAACTTGGAAGGATATGGTTGGAAAATGTTGGAACGTTGCTACAAACTGGAATTCCTCGTTTATTTCATAATTTATGCGTTTATGCGGAATGGTGTGATATATTGGAGATAAGAAAATAGAAATCGATCATATACATCAAAAAAATTGTATTGATAGAATGGAATTCTTTACGATATCTGATTTAAATTTGCTATAATTCATATTTGCTTGAATTTCACGCTCGTACATCATGGACAATGACGTATTAATTAACTGCAATTCTTTTTTGATTTTGAATAACTGTGTTACATTATCGTGTGTAATTTTTTTTTTGTTTGAAATGTTTGAAAAGATTATTAATAAAACGGAAAGAATTCCATGTTTAAATTATAATGGGAAATTCCTGAAATCTCACGAATAGATTCTTTCTTGTATCAAAAATTTGATGCAAGATTTTTGATAAAAGATATTTCCTCGATATATAAATAGATCGTTTTCTTCAATTAATATTATTAATATATCTTGTTATGAAACAAGATATGTTGAATTAAAAATTAAATTTAAATAAAAAAACTGTTCCTTGCGAAAACAGGAAATTATTAAAGACTCAACTTCTTTTCAACCCTATCTACGTACAGATATAACTTGCTTAAAGATAATAAGAAAGTAATTTATTTTTTAAAATGCATCGCGATCGATCGTTGAGAAATTTTATTTATCGAAGTGAAATCAGACACGAAGTTAATAATTTAGAATATCCATAACCTTTATTATTTCACGATTATAACCGAGCTTCGACATTATTAACTATTATGTTCGTTAGTTATTATTACATGTACCATGTTCTTACTATTTGTATAATTTTATGTATTGTATAATTTTATAGACCATATATATATATATATAAACGTTAAAATTATACTTTTATTTACAATTCAACAATTCCTAGAATTCGATTAAAAATGGAAAACCGTGTATGAAAAACGGACGCAGCCATCGTTGAATTGTCACGGTTCGTAAATTTTATAAACTGGTAGAATTAATAATAATATTAAATTAAATTTATTAAAAATTCTATCTGAAAATATATTTCAAGAAAAACTATCTATCTTTTCGATATTTATCACTTTTTTCTCCACTTTCTTGTGGAACGAAGATTCTTTTTCACACATTTATTGCTTTAAAATTGCGGGAAAAAATTCGTTCGAATAATTTCAACGAAAACACAGTGTTTGAACACAGTGTTACATCTTCTTTTCCTACAAACAAAATTCCTCGAATCCGTTCCAAGGTTTTACCTACAATTGGAAACTTGTTTCGAGTATTATGCTATAAAATCAATAATATACGTATCTCCATGTTATTATTTATTATATAATCTTCTATTAAATAGTTAATGGAAGAAGAAACTGAAGATCCGAGTGGAACTCGATGGAAGCCAAGCACTGACCCTGCTTATGATTTTGAAAACAGGTTTCGATCAGGAGGAAGGCTGTTTTGTAATTTTTTAATGTCGACGATTACGAGACATCCGGTCGTTCGGTAATTAATGGGCAAAGACACTAGAGGTCTCGTTGGAATGTAAGTCACCGGCTAATGGCGAATCAGAACTGTTTATGATTTTGAAAACTGGTTTCTCGATCTTTTGAACGGGCATGAGACATTTGAAAAATGTGCGAACATTGATAAAATAACGAGCGATATCTGTGTCTCGTAATTTAATAATATCAGATATATTCTGCGCTAAGGAAGGAATTATAGTTACAGTTCATGTAGTTCAGTGGAACATAAACGTGGCTACCTTTGAATGGGAAATATTCTGATCGGATACAACTATCGAATGAATGAAATGTGTGATTTTATTTTTCATTTCTGTAACTTTATTTACTCTGATCTACCTATGTGAAATTTACCTAATGAATTTATTAAAAAAAATATTATAAATAATATTGGTGATTAGATAGAAAGTGTCCTGCAATTGGTATCCACGATAAAATAAAATTTTTCAATTTAAAGTCTTATTTAAAAGTCTTGTGTTAATAAATTTATAAAATAAAGTCACCTAATACTTTAGGTAAAAAATTTTTGAATATTTTTACAAAAATATCATTAAATTTTTTTTTTTGGCCACCAATTTTAACATTTATTTATTATCGTATAAATTAAAAATAATTTAAAATAATTTTAAATTTCATTAATATGTATCATATTTATAAATGCATCATTTAGTGCATATATTAGATGCATATTATATGTATATATTATAATTGTAAAATGTGGTCTCGACTACTCACCTATATTCTTTTTTTTCTTTTATCCCATGCTGAAGAAAAGGGTTTAAAATTTGATAGAAGTTTAACATTGGACAGGTAACATTAAACTGAAGCCCTTTGCAATTTTGAGAGCTGTCATTATATTTCTTGTGACCTACATTCTGTTGAACGTGGAAATATTTTGGTATATCAAAGGGGGTTGTTCAATTGCAAAATACTGGAACTTTAAATGGAAAGATATTTCAAATTAAAAAATTATTTAAAAGTATAATTATTTCTAATTTGAAATTATAAAATTATTTAAACTATTTTATATTATATTCTTCTCAATTACTATATTTGATATTATAAACTATTTCTGTGTAGAATATTCATCCAGTTATTTTGTAATAATTCCTGGAGGCGTGTTTAGAGGCTAAATTGCGTTTCCTCGCTTCTCTTATCCAATTTATCCCATAGCAGTATAATGGAATCTAGGTCGTGTAATTGTAGTGACTAAATCGTGGTATTATGTATATTCTTTATTTTTAGATTTGTTCCAAATACCTTCGTGCAACCCCAAAATAAGTTAAAGAATAGATCTAATGAATAGAAAAAAAAACCAATTAATCGTTGATCTAACAATATCCTATTATTTTGATAAAATCTCTAAAATATTTCTTCAAATGAAAATTTATAATTGAACATTTTTATTCAATTTTCATCCACACATTTATTTAAATATATTATATTTTTATATTTTTTTCAAATTCATTGCAATATTTTAATTTCAAAAACTATGCAAGATCATTGTTGCAATGTATCATTAAAAATTAATATTAACCTCCTTTTATTTCTCATATCTTCATCCATACCTTCATAGTACACTTTTATAATCATATTAAAATTATATTTTTATATTCTTCCATATTTATTATGGAAAAAACAATATGAAGAAATTATTTTTTTGCAACATTACTATTGTAATACATTTTCTGTATCATATTAAAATTAATATGCTTTTTAATTCCTCACTCATGTACAATATTTTTTTTAACTTCTATTCGTTCATTTCCTAAAAAAAAAAAAACAAAAAAATACGAGCAATTACAGAAACAAAGACACAAAAATAGTAAAATATCAGTCGATTCGTAAGGACTTGTTGCCATGTCCGTAAAAAGAATTGTGCTCAATTAACGATTCATCTGTAACGTCTGGTCGAAGAACAGGTTCTCCTACTCGTGGATATGGTGATGCTCGTATATATGCCCTGTTTCCTTCCTTTTGCAGAACCCTTTGTACTTAATTGTATTAATATAACGAGCTGTTTATGCGTGTACGCGCAATAACGATGGAAGAGTAATGTGTATAAATAATTGGGCCATTACACGATACCATCGATGCATTGTGTCCATCTGTCCAGGTGGAAAAGAGAATTGGAAGAAAATTTGGCAATTTTTTTTTTTTGTAAGATGATCTTTTCTTCGAGTTATTTTCTTTAATCAATATTCCAAATCTAAAGAATATTAAACATAAATGAAATTCTTCTAACTTTTGTATTATTGTTTCTTCTTGTTAATATAAAAATTAATCGTAAAATTTAAAAAAAAATTTTTTCGTATCTCGTATCTTCTAAGAATATTGATGATGGATAAGATGGGTAAAAGAACGTCCATCAAGTTTGAAAAATTCTTCCATATAGTGGGATTTTATATGTTGTAAAAAGTTAGAGATGTAAGAAATAGTATAAATAAGAGAAACCATCTTTCATAATATAATTCAATGAATCTGAAGAACCTGAACGATTATGAGGGAAATAAAAAGAAGATTAGCGATAAAAACAGATATGTTTTGAAAATTCTTGAGAATGAAAAATTCTTGCCCTGTCCGATTTTATTCGCGTATGTGCATAAAAAAACGAAAATTCAAATTAGCTATTCTGTACTCGTTTAAATAAAGAAAGGGATAACGTAAAAACAGGCGAATTTCGAAAGTCATCAGCGTTGAAAAATGCTTACACGGCATGATTCTTCTTATTTCTTGTAAGAAATCAGAAGATTATAGTAAAACTAAATAAAAAAAAAAAAAAAGAACGAGGCGAAATTGGGGAGTCATCAAAATTGATAAATTCTTTCACAGTGTGAATCTACTATGAGTAATCAGTAACTAATAGCCGTTTGTCTACAAAAAAAATATCATAAAAAAATTGACCAAATATAAAAATATGAAATTATACATCATTAAGTTTTCATTTTTCGATGTAATTTTTTATTAAAAAGTAATCAATTAAAGGAAATTTTTTTACCGAAATTATAGTAATAGTTTGTATTTAGTAAAAAACGATAAATTTCTCTTAATGGGATTAATTTTTTCTCACTATTAAAAAATACAATTTTATTTAATTAATTTACCATCGATTTTATCACGAAGAAATTGTTTCTAAATCATTCTCAAATTATTCTCAACAAATATTTCAATTAAAACTCACCTTATTCTATATCACTGAAAAATTGGGATGACACCGATTCCATTATTATCCAGAAAAATCCGTAAACGTATCCCACTAGAAATAAAAAAAAGAAACAAATGAATTAAAAATATCAAATAGAAATATACAGGATATTAATATATAATGCATTCACGAGAATTCATTTTTTAATTCGCGTTAAATAAAACGAGATGGAGATAGTGAGACAGTTCACAGCGCCATCTCTATCTCCATCTCGCTTCATCCAATGCAATCGCTTCAATTCCTTTACAACAAACAAGCGATCGATCGAAATTTCTATATTTATTTCGGCCTTAATCAAGATAGATTTTCTCACGAATGCATTATAACACCTATACAGATATAAGGAAGGCAAGTGCAGTTTGGATCGAGGTTAAACGCGTTGCTCGTTCACCGGAAACGCCAACGATTTTGAATCTGGCTTGCAACAGCCTCGCGGCGGTAGGCTCGTTCCTTTAACGATCCACAATTAGACGAACAACTCCCACGCAAACGTTCGAAGGCGCGCCTTCGACCAAGAATTCCGCCATAAAAGCAACACCTGCACTGAAACGAGTGGAGGGAGATCAAAATTGGGTCAATTTTCGCTAATAAATGAATTATCTTTAGTAAACTTACGGTTTTATTTGACACGGTTTTATTTGAACTCTTTTACGATTATATAGAGATTCTGCCACGACGTGTCGAGTGCCTGGAGGCGTCTTGTCGAGTACCTTGTATGCGCTAATAGCAGTCAAAGGGTTAATGATTTCAGTAGTTGGTAACGTTATGGTTGTACGGTTGTTACTTTGGAGGAACGTAAAGGATTCTTTGATATATTGCATTCCAAAAGAAATATGCAAGTTTGCATTGGTTTCTGATTAAAGTTCGAGGATTTAATTGGTTATTTCGCTTGATTAAACGAAGAAAATTCTTCGTTTCTTTTTTCTTTTCTTTTTTTTTTTTTTTTTTTTTTTTTTTTTTTTTTTTTTTTGAAGCAAAGTAGGTCTTCTCTGGTTACTCGTGTAATCAGTATACGATTTTTATATTACTTTTATATTAATATTTTATATTATATTTTATACGATATTAACATTCAGCTGTTCGAAAAAATTCGAACGTCCATCATTGTCAATAATCTCTTCGAATCTCTGTACTATATATTATTAATGTTATTTTTACATAATGTCCTCTTAGGTTTGACGAGATTATGAATGACTAAAAGCTTCTCTAATCTTGATAATAACAATAATCATCCAATGATAATACTAATTACGTTAAATTGTACAATGAACACTTTCTACGTGCAATTGCAATGTATACCAAGCCTGTATCATTATCCTTCTTCGTTTCTAGACTAGACATCTTCGAATATCGTAAAAACAACAGAGAGACGATTCACACATGGTACAATTACAATAGAAAATTAACGATGGATAACTCGAAACCATAAAACGCTCGATAACACGTATTTACGAATGCACGATTATTATGATTGTTCCCCACGCGAATACAAGAGGATAGGATGGAACATTTATTAAGAAGTAACGGATGGATCTAAAACTGGCTGTCTCATCCGAAGAAACTAGGACTAATGAATCCATGTTTCTTTCAACGTTATTTTCTATGTTTGTTATGGTAAATTTGCACCTCATAGTTATTTAGTCATCTCGTACAAATATGATTCTTCAGAATTTATTGGATAATGAATTGAATGAGAGATATAGAAATGAAATATACTTGGTTTCATTATAATTTTATATGATTTGCAAATATATATTGAAAATTGGATGATTATAGTTATCCAAGAACAAAAACTTGTTTTATAAAACAAAGTAATCCATTGTCCATTAACCTTGTAAACTTGTATATTAAAAAAGTATATATTCTTAGTTTACTGTAGAAATAACTGTTATCATTATTAATTCATATTTTTAGAATCTAATACTTTAATATTAATTACTTTC